GCCCAGGGCTCATGTAATCCTCCCGCCCTTGGCCTCCCAAAGTGCTGGAATTACAGGCCCGAGCTACTGCACCTGGCTGCTTTCTACTGTCAGAAAATTTGGGATGGGTATGGTGGCTCACGCCTGTAATCCCAGCACTGGGAGGCCAAGGCAGGAGGACCGCTTGAGCCCAGGAGTTTGAATCCAGCCCAGGCAACATGGTGAGACCCTGTCTTTAAAACATAAAGAAGAAAATTCTATTGGCATCCCTTTTCTATTACATTTCTTCTCATTATCCTTGTGTAATTTCATCTTTTTAAACTTACCACTATTTAGTAGGGTTTTGGCAGGATTGGAATAAAGCATGTGTTCAGATTACTATATGTAAGTGGCAGCTTCTGCTTGTTCTTCATTAGCTGGTCTGCCCCAGATTTTACCCAGAGCAAGGAAATTTAAAGGTACCCTTTCTAGTTTAGTACTCTGGAACACTGCATTAAGCCTGAGATTTGGATGTGGGTTTATTTTGTAATTTTTAAAACAGTGTAAGAAAGCACCTCAAAATTTAGTGACTTTAAAAAATAATTGTTTTATTTTAATTTCTCTTGATTCCAGGGGTAGCTGGACTCAGCTAGGCTGTTCTTACTCAGGGTCTCTTGTACAGTTGTAATCAGATAGTGGCTAAGTATGGAACCACTTCACAAGTTTCCTTACTCCCATGTCTGATGCCAGAGCTAGGAAGGCTCAAACACCTGGGGGTTGGCACAGGCTTCTCAGACGTCTTGTCTCTGTGTGATCTTCCTATATGATCTCTCCAACATAGTGGCTGCAGAGTAGCCAGACTTGTTTTGTGGTAGCTTGGAGTTTCAAAGGTACATTCTTGAGAAAGACGGAGACAGGGACAGACAGACAGAGAGAGCGTGCCAGGTGGAAACTGTATCATCTTTTATTCGCTAGCCTCAGAAGTCATGTCGTGCACTTCCACAGAACTCTTTGAGTTGAGACAGCCACGAAAGCCCATTCACTCTCAAGGGGTGATGACACAGACTCACCCTCTAACTGGGATAGTATCAGATTTCTGGAAGAGCATGTGGGGATGGGAAATTTGTGGCAACCATCTTTGAAATATACTATCTGCTATAGGGTTCTCTCTAGCATTGCTGCTTAATCTCAGGATAGCCTTGAATAAGTAACCTAACCTTATATTTCAGTTTTCTTACTCACAAAATGTAAATGTGTCAGTCAGCTCTTGCTACACTAGTGCTGTGTGGCACACCATTCCAAAACTCAGTGATATACAATGATAAGCATTTACTTGTTGCCTGTGTTCCTCTAAGTATCTGAGATTGAGTGATTTAGACTCGGCTCAGCTCAGCTCCAAGCTGCTTGTTTGTTGGATTCAGGTCTGCAGCATGTCTTTCTGCCATTCTGGACCAGCAGCCAGTTGAGGTGTATTCTCCTTATGACTCAAGGGGCAGGAGAAACAGCACAAACATGTTTAAACTTCTCTTCCTCTCAGATCAGCTCATACTTCATTTGCCTTTGAAGCAAGTCATGTATCCAAGCTCAGCATCAGTGGAGTAGGGAAGTATTTGTTTTGTTTTGGTTTGGTTTTGCCCTTTTATTTTTATTTATTTATTTATTTATTTGAGATGTAGTGTCTCTCTGTCGCCTGGGTTGGAGTGCAGTGGTGGGATCTCGGCTCACTGCAACCTCTGCCTCCCGGGTTCATGTGGTTCTCCTGCCTCAGCCTCCCGAGTAGCTGGGATTACAGGCACCTGCCACTATGCCCGGCTAATTTTTTGTACTTTTTTTAGTAAAGACAGGGTTTCACCATGTTGGCCAGGCTGGTCTTGAACTCCTGACCTCATGATCTGCCCGCCTTGACCTCCCAAAGTGCTGGGATTACAGGCGTGAGCCACTGCGCCCGGCCTGTTTTTTTCTTTATCAGACGAAGTCTTGCTGTGTTGTCCAGGCTGGAGTGCAGTGATGCTGTCTCAGCTCACTGCAACCTCTGCCTCCCAGGTTCAAGCGATTCAGCTTCCTAAGTAACTGGGATTACAGGCACGCACCACCACACCCAGTTAATTTTTGTATTTTTAGTAGAGATAGGGTTTCATCATGTTGGCCAGGCTGGTCTTGAAGTCCTGACCTCAAACGATCTGCCCTCTTCGGCCTCCCAAAGTGCCAGAATTACAGTCGTGAGCCACCGTGCCTGGCCCTGGGCTTACTATTATAGCACATCCCATAAGTGCTGGTATTACAGGCATGAGCCACTGTACCTGACCTGGTTTTAAAACAAAAAAAAAGCCGGGCACGGTGGCTCACGCCTGTAATCCCAGCACTTTGGGAGGCCTAGGCGGGTGGATCACGAGGTCAGAAGATCAAGACCATCCTGGCTAACACAGTGAAACCCCGTCTCTACTAAAAATACAAAAAAATTAGCCGGGCGTGGTGGCAGGCACATGTAATCCCAGCTACTCAGGAGGCTGAGGCAGAAGAATGGTGTGAACCCAGGAGGTGGAGGTTGCAGTGAGCCTAGATTGCATTACTGCATTCCAGCCTAGGAGACAGAGCAAGACTCCGTATCAAACAAACAAAACAAGAAAAAACTTATCAGAGGGCTAAAAAAGAGGCCACCACTACTGGCCATAATAGACTGCATTTAAACAAAATTCCTCAGGTGTTTTTGTTAACCTGGAAAGCCTAGGCAGGGTTTAAACATTTCTCCTTCTCTCTTTATCTGAATTCTCAGGTACCATAAATACACTTTATTTGAGCCGTTAGGACTCAGTTTTAGTGAAGATAATTTTTTCAGATTTGAAATTAGACAAAATTCTCAGTCATGTTGCTTTCGTCCATTCTCAAATTATTGCTACTTTAACCAATTTTAAGGGATTTTGTTTCATCTTTGGGTTGTTTTGGATATAAAACAGGAGCCTTCTCTATTTATTTATTTATTTTTGAGACAGAGTCTCGCTCTGTTGCCCAGGCTGGAGTGCAGTATCGTGGTCTCAGCTCACTGCAACCTCCACCTCCTGGATTCAAGCAATTCTCCTGCCTCAGCCTCCCGAGTAGCTGGGATTACAGGCGCCCGCCACCACGCCCAGTTAATTTTTTGTATTTTTAGTAGAGACAGGGTTTCACCATGTTGGCCAGGCTAATCTTGAATTCCTGACCTCATGTTCCGCCTGCCTTGGCCTCCCAAAGTGCTGGGATTACAGGCATCAGCCACCGCGCCTGGTGGCCTCTTTTTTTTTTTTTTCAAACTCTTATTTTTCTCCTTGAAATAGTGCCAGCCTAGGCATTATTTCCCAGTTCTATCACCCATATTCCCAATATTCCATCTCCCCATCTCAGCTTTCACTGGGCCTTTAAGTCTGAGTGCTAATCTGCGTGTGGGGTGCAGTGTGAGGGCGTTTTTCAGCCTTCACGTCAGTAACCCAGTATGGAGATTTAGTATTGACTGCTGCAGTGTATTTCATGCTGAGAAGTCATGGAGGGGAGATAGACTATATTTAAACAACATTCCTCAGGTGTTTTTGTTAACCTGGAAAGCCTAGGCAGAGATTAGACATTTCTCATTCTCTCTTTATCTGAATTCTCAGGTACCATAAATACCTTTATTTGATCCTTTAGGACTCAGTTTTAATGAAGATAATTGTTTCAGATTTGAAATTAGACAAAATTCTCAGTCATGTTACTTTCGTCCATTCCCAAATTATTGCTAATTTAGGCAGTTTTAAGGGATTTTGTTTCATCTTTGGGTTGTTTTAGGGAGATACAATTATATATAAATCGTATATATATCGTTGTTTCATTTGTTAATTTTAGTGAGGGAAAGTGTCTTTTTTTTTTGAGATGGCGCCTTGCTCTGTCGCCCAGGCTGGAGTGCAATGGCGTGATCTCGGCTAGCTGCTACTTGGGAGGCTGAGGCAGGAGAATTGCTTGAACCCAGGAGGCAGAGGTTGGGAGCCAAGCATGGTTCACACTTGCAGTCCCGACTATTTTGGAGATTGAGGAGGAAAGAATGCTTGAGGCCAGAAGTTTGAAGTTGCAGTGTGCTGTGATCACTCCTGTGAATCACCACTGCACTCCAGCCTGGGCTGGTGAGCGAGACCTTGTGAGCGAGACCTTGTCTCTAAAAATGAAAGAAATGAACATTGGTACAGTGCCATTACCTAAACGATAGACTTCAGATTTTGACAGTTTTTCCACTAATAATCATTTGTGTTCCAGGACCCAAACCCATTTTCCACCTTTAGTTAATTGTCATGTCTCCTTGGTGTCCTCCCGTCCCATGACAGTTTCTCAGCCTATATTTTTCATGATATTGCCTTTGGAAAGTGCTGGTCAGGTATTTTGTAGAATGTCTCTTCATTTGGGTTTGCTTCGTGATTTCTCATCAGAATGAGGTTATGGATGTTGAAGAGACCCCCAGAGAGGGGACTTGCCCTTCTTATCTCATATATCAATGTATTACTGATGTATTACTGATGTTACCTTTAATGATTTGGTCAAGGTGGAGTTTGTCAGATGTCTCCACTGTAAAGTTTTCCCTTTAAATTTATGGTTTTATATTGCTTTGTTCTTCCTTTTTTTTTTTTTTTTTTTTTTTTTTGAGACGGAGTGTCACTCTGTTGCCAGGGCTGGAGTGCAGTGGCACAATCTTGGCTTACTGCAACCTCCGCATCCTGGGTTCAAGTGATTCTCCTGCCTCAGCCTCCCGAGTAACTGGGATTACAGGCTCCCACCACCACACCCAGCTAATTTTTATATTTTTAGTAGAGACGGGGTTTCACCATGTTGGCCAGAATGGTCTCAATCTCTTGACCTCATGATCCGCCTGCCTCGGCCTTGCAAAGTGCTGGGATTACAGGCGTGAGCCACCGTACCCAGCCGGGAAAATCCATAATTTATTGAAAGCCCAGTGGATCTTTTTCTAGTTGTCTTTATTTCTTTTTCTAGCTTGTTTCTTTGTCTTTATTCTTCTTGTAAGCTTGATGTCTTTTTCCTTGGCACAGGGTGACTAAGGAAGTGGATGCTACATCTAAAGAGGCCAAATCCTTCTTCAAGCAGAATGAGAAAGAAAAACCACCAGCTAATGTCCCTTCAGCTCTGCCGTCACTCCCTGCTGGGTCAGGGTGAGTATTTGAGTCTCAGTCCCTGATGTACTTGGCATGTTGGAGAAGCTTTCAGTGCAAATACCTGCTTTCACTACAGATCAAACTCCTTGCCTGAGAGAGAGAGAATTATGATGCTGCTTTGCCTTTGCTGCAATGTTTACCAGAATGGAAGATGCAAAGGAAAATTAGCCATAACTTTCTCAGGAGGATTGCTTGAGCCCAGGAGTTTGTGACTAGCCTGGGCAATACATTAAGACCCTGTCTCTTAGAAAAAAAATTAGCTGGGCATGGTGGCTTGCACCTGTGTCCCAGCTACTGTGGAGGCTGAAGCAGGAAGATCACTTGAGCCCAGAAGGTTGAGGCTGCAGTGAGCCGTGATTGTGCCACTGCACTGCAGCCTGGGTGACAGAGAGAGATCCTGTCTCTTAAAAAGAAAAAAAAGAAGGGAGAAAATTAGCTGTAGCTTTCTTATTTGTTGCCAGCCTTAAAGAAGTCCTGGTTTATAGGATTGAACACAAAGCTGAACATGTAAATTTTACATTTAAAAATAATGCTTTTCAAATGAAAATATCAGCCGCCTTTGGAACTTTTCATGAAGATTTGGGTTGAACACTCACTCCCATCCTCTGTGATTTCAGAGGAACATAAAAAGATCAAAGATGATTTACAAATAATTTTCTTAACGCATTGTCAGGAACTTAATAGTTTTTCTCCTTTCATATTTTTCATATTACTTGAGTTATTTTTAGCTGAAGGCTAGAATTATTTCTTTTTGGAAGAAGTAAAAATTATTTTCTTAACCTAAATGTGAGAAGTAAAGTATTACACTAAATCAGAGAGGCTTTAAGACTTACCACAGGGAAGTGAACATAGACCCACACTATGGATAGCCCTGACTACCCATCTGACTCCTGTAGGGAGTTCTGCAGTCTCCTACACTGGCTTCTGTGGCCCTTCAGTCAGATATTGTCCCCTCTTCCTTCCCTCCTTGAACATACCTGTCATTGCTATGAGCAGTAAAGTTTTGTTTCACTTTTTTTTTTTTTTTTTTTTTTAAATGAGATGGAGTCTTGCTCTGTCGCCCAGGCTGGAGTGCAGTGGTGCAATCTTGGCTTACTGCAAGCTTTGCCTCCTGGGTTCATGCCATTCTTCTGCCTCAGCCTCCCGAGTGTGGTGCCAGGCCCCCACACCTGGCTTATTTTCAGTAGAGATTAGGTTTCACCATGTTAGCCAGGATGGTCTTGATCTCCTGACCTTGTGATCTGCCCACCTTGGCCTCCCAAAGTGCTGGGATTACAGGCGTGAGCCACCGTGCCCAGCCCCACATTTTTAAAAAGAGTTGATTTTCCTATTGGAGCGTGAGCTTTTTTACGGTGGGCCTTCCCCATCTTTGCAACCCTGGCTCTAAACAACAGAGTTATACTAGTGTACTCTCTTAGGTTGCATATACCCAGAAATACACCCTGAGATAAAGGTTTAAGTGCATGTCGTTTATATGAGAGGTGATTCCAGGAAGCCCCAGTGGAGAGGTACAAGAGAGGAAAGAAGCCAGTAAATGTTGAGTTATCAAGCAGGTGACTGCTAGTTGTGGCTGGCACTCATTCCTGCTGGGAAACTTAGAGATTGGAAAGAACACAGTGAGGGCTGAGGAGGGTGGAATGTTTAACCTCCACTGCCCATCGGACATTGGCTCAGAGCTGCAGAGCTGCTTCCGCACATTCCTTGCCCTATGTCCTCAGGCTGGGAGCTGCAGGTGCTTGCAGTAAGATGCTGCTCTCCGCATGTACCATGGCACTGAATGCCAGGACATGTGGATGGGGCTAGTTCCTCAACTGTTACATCTTTATCTGCTTCATACTCGAGATATTTCTCTCCCACTGAGCAGAAGTCATGTAGTAGTTACACAGAAGCCTAAGGAGGAAGAGGATTTGATTGCTTGCTACCACAATAGAAATGACATAAAATCAGATGAAGGCAGCTGTAGAACAGAATTCTACAGACCTGCCCTGTTAATACTCTAGGCAAGTACTTTGTACGCTGTGGTTTGGAATCATCAATTAAGAGAAAATATCAGAGCACATCACATGTGGTAAGAGTAAATACTGTTTTCCAGCCTGGCCAACATGGTGAAACCCCATGCCTACTCAAAATACAAAAATTAGCTGGGCGTTGGTGGCACTTGCCCATAATCCCAGCTACCTGGGAGGCCGAGGCAGCAGAATCGCTTGAACCCAGGAGGCAGAGGTTGAAGTGAGCTGAGATTGCACCACCGCACGCCCGCCTGGGCGACGGAGACCTTATCTCAAAAGAAAAATAAATAAATAAATAAATAAATACTGTTTTATAGAACTTTTATTTCAGTTACTGATATGCTTATGTTTGGCAACAAGCTGTATTTATTTTTTATTTTTTTGAATTGGAATCTTGCACCGTCGCCTGGACTGGAGTACAATGGTGTGATCTTGGCTCACTGCAACCTCTGCCTCCCGGGTTCAGGTGATTCTCCTGCCTCAGCCTTCCGCCGAGTAGCTGGGATTACAGGCGCGCGCCGCCATGCCTGGCTAATTTTGTGTATTTTTAGTAGAGATGGGGTTTCACTATGTTGACCAGGCTGGTCTCGAACCCCTGACTTCGTGATCCATTCCCGCCCCCCCGACCTCCCAAAGTGCTGGCATTACAGGCCTGAGCCACTGCGCCCATCCAGCAAGCTGTATTTTTAATAAAGATTCGGATTTTTAAAATTTGAAGCTGTAGGCTGAAACATGTTTTTAGCTTTATATTTATTGTATTGTTTGAAGGGAGTTCTCTTCAGACCAGTACCTTTATTTATTTACTTTTTTTTTTGAGGCAGAGTCTTACTCTGTTGTCCAGGCTGGAGTGCAGTGGCGGGATCTCTGCTCACTGCAACCTTCGCCTCCTGGGTTCAAGCAGTTTCCTGCCTCAGCCTCCCGAGTAGCTGGGATTGCAGGCGCCCACCACCATGCCCGGCTAATTTTTGTAATTTTAGTAGAGACGGGGTTTCACCATGTTGGCCAGGCTGGTCTTGAACTCCTGACCTCCGCCACCTGCTTCGGCCTCCCAAACTGCTGGCATTACGGGTGTGAGCCATCACGACTGGCCGCCCAGACCAGTAGCTTTCAAACTTTCTTGACTGCCACCCATCATAAGGAATACATTTTACATTATGCCTTGTACACCTATAAAAATAGGTATGTGAAAAGGTGAGACAAAAATTTGGTGAAATATTTATGCTTACTATGTATAATATGCTCTGATTTTCTGTTTTACATTATTGCGTATAGAAGTGTCATTTAAAAAACTGTTAGGACCTGCTGAATTGATTTCACAATCAACTACAATCTGAATTTGACAAATACTGCTCTAGACTGTGTATGGAATTAGCCTTCAGCAGGTGATTAAGAGTTGCCAGGTTTGTATGTGGTATTATTAAGGTGTTTCTTGCACTTATTAGAAGTATTACTATGAACGTTACCTCTGGATATAACCACCAGATGGAAATAAAGGCAAAGAAGCTCTTCTTAGGTTTCTGGTTAGTTTTAGCTAACACAGTTTTTACTTCTAGTTTCCTTGGATATTTCTTCTTAAAATGATCCCTGTTGATGCTTAGAGATTCTACTTGGAAACTATATGTTTCAGAAAATACTCTGCTACTATAATTATAAAAATAACTAGAGAATGGAGAAATGGCAGCTTAAAATCAGCTTATTTAAGTCACTCATGTAGAAATCTCACTGCTTGTCATATCTGTGCCTGTCTGCCTTAGAGCTAATAGCCTTTTTAGAATAAGAAATCTGCTGAGATGATATCTGTATTAGGGAGATCCAGCAGGAAACAGATGGCATTCTCAAATACAATACTTTGAGGAGAGTTTAATAACTCACAAAGTGGTGGAAAACCATGGGGATACAAATATTGGTGTGGCCTCCCTGGGGCTGGTAATAATGAGACTCTATTACTACCCCTAGGCCTGAAAGGGCAAGAATGGGAGCAGTTAAATGGCAGGGGAAGACAGGGTTAGGTAGAATGGACCTCCTGACAGGAGCTGAGACCTTCTGTTAAGTAATGGACTTCCCCCAGAGGGAAGCCAAGGGAATAAATACCCAGATCTGTTTCTTCTCTCTCTGCAGCCTCTCAGGGAGCTCCATTGCCCTCTGAGACTTACTAAAGAATATTCCGACACTTGTTGAAACTGTGAGAACACTTTATCCAAAACTATTGCAATGGGTGTCAAGACTATCTCTAGGGTAGAGAGAGAGGGCTCAACTCTGAATACAGCAAAAACAGCTGGGGATTTTTAGCAGAATCGGGAGGCAGGTGGTCAGTGGATGGAAAATTACTAAGAGGAGACATCAAGGATAGGGATATTCTTGCTCAAGGCAGTCTAGTGTGATCAGATATCAAGGGTAGGGGATTCTCTCTAAACTGACTTAGCGCAGAATTATTTCTAAAACTGGGCTGTGCAGGCCCAGCAAGGGCAGGGGCCAATTTCAAGCCTTAGTTGAGAAGAGGGCTCATTGGAGTCTGACTAAAGTTTGGTTTAAGGGAGTCTTCATCAGGCTGTCCTTATAGAACAGCTCCTAGAGCAGAGAGCCATGTGGGAAAGGGTATAGAGGGAATCTAGGGGCCAACCAGGAGCTATACAAGTGAAATATTTTTCAGTAAAGAATGCTGACTCCCTTATAAACAGGGTAAAGTGAAATTTGACCAAAATCAGTTTCTTTGAAAGCCCTGATGGAACATAACACATTACAAGGATATGTCTGCCAAGTGCCTGAGTAAAAGTCTTCAGAGTTGTACATTAAAATGTACATGTTTAATTATGATACTGTGAACCTTGGATTTCTGAGTAAATCCAGAATGACCTTCAAGGTTGGTATGCTCATTTTATGAAATGCATCTCAGAAAGCTTTACAATTACAATTGTGCTTGGGAAAAGACGGGGCCAAGAGGAATTCAGCTGATCTGGGGTAACTGAGTGGGCACATTTTATCAGTGTA